CCTGTGTTGCAAGGATGGCTCAACATATGCAAATCAATAATTGTGATACACTGCATTCACAAGACAAAGGATAAAATCATAGAATCGTCTTAGTAGATGCAGAAAAAGTATTTAACAAAATTCAATATCCGACTCTGATTTAAAAAAAAAAAATCTCAAGAAGTGGGAATGGAGAGGACACACCTCAACATAGTAAAGGCCATGTGTGACGAGCTGACTCAATGGTGAAAAGCTGAAAGCTATTTCTCTGAGATCAGAAACAAGACGACAAGGACACCCACTTTTGCCACTTTTATTCAACATACTATTGGAAGTATGAAGACCATTTAGGCAAAACAAAACAAAACAAAACAACCACGAAAAAGAAATGAAAAGGCATTCAAGTTGTAAGGGAAGAAGTAGAACTGTCACTATTTGCAGATGACATAATATTACTTATAGAAAGCCCTGGAGACTCCACCAAAAGACATTTAGAACCAATAAATGGATTCAGTAAAGCTGCAGGAAACAAAATCAAAATTCAAAACTCTGTTGCATTTCTGCACACTGCTAACAACCTATAAGAAAGAGAAATTAAGAAACCAATCCGTTTACAATTGTATCAGAAAGAAGAAGATAACTGAGATTAAATTTAACTGAGGAAGTGAAAGATCTGTACACTGAAAACTATAAGACAATGATGAAAGAAATTGAACAGATGCAAATAAATGGAAAGATATTCCATACCCAGGGAGGGGAAGAATTGGTATTATGAAATGTTCATCCTACCCAAAGCAATCTAGAGATTGAGTGCAATCCCTACTGAAGTTCAATGGCATTTTTCACAAGAATAGAAGAAACAATCCTAAAATTTGTATGGAACCACAAACCCCCCCCCAAAAAAAAAAAACCCAAGTAACCAAAACAGTCTTGAGGAAGAAGAACAAGGCAGGAAGCCTCATACTCCCTGATTTTGAACTATTTTACAAAGCTATAACAATCAAAACAGTATGGTATTGGCATAAAAACAGATGCATAGATCAACAGATGAGACTAGAGAGCTCAGAAATAAACACAGACATATACAGTCAATTAATTTACAAAAAGAGCCAAGAATATACAATGGGGGAAAGAACAGTCTCTTCAATAAATGGTGTTGGGAAAACTGGACAGCCACATGCAAAAGAATAGAATGGGATCACTGTCTTACACCACAGGCTAAAGACTGAATGCAAGACCCAAAACCATAAAACGCTGGGAAGCAATCATAGGTGCTAAGCTCCTTGACATCAGTCTTGGCGACTAATTGATTGATTGAGTTTTTGGATCTGACACCAAGAGGAAGGATAACAAAAGCAAATATAAACAAATGGGGCTACATCAAACTAAAAAGCTTCTGCACAGCAAAGGAAATCATCAGCAAAATGAAAAGCCAACCTACCGAGTGGGAGAAAATATTTGCAAATCATGTATGTGATAAAGGGTTAATATCTAAACTATATAATGAATCCCAAAAACTCAAAAGCAGAAAAAAGAAAAATCAAACAACTTGATTAAAAACTGGGCAAATGATCTGAATAGACAGTTTTCCAAAGAAGACATACAGATGCCCAACAGGTACATGAAAAGGCCTTCCATATCACTAATCAGGGAAATACAAATCAAAGCCACAACAAGGTACAACTTCACACCTGTTAGAATGGCTATAATCAAAAAGATAAGGAATAACAAATGCTTGTGAGGATGGAGAGAAAAAGAAAGTCTCGTGCACTGTTGGTAATATAATGCATGGGATGTAAATTGGTGCAACCACTGGGGAAAACAGCATGGAGGCTCCTCAAAAAACTAAAAATAAAAGTACCGTATAATCATCTAGTAATTCCACTACTGGGTATTTGTCTGAAGAAAATGGGTACAATGAATGGGCACCACCATGTTCATTGCAGCATTACTTACCATAGCCAAGATATGGAAACATCCTAAGTATCCATTTCTGTTGGCATGATATGGCCTTGTTTTACATGCTTTGAAGTCAGACCCACCTGGGTACAAATCGCAGCTTTACTATTTACCAGTTGTGTGGCATTAGGGAAGTTCTCTGAGCCTGTGTTTTTCTCATCTGTAAAAAGGGAATGATAGTATTATCCACCTCATAGGTTTGTTGTGACCATTAAATGAGATGACGGAAGTAAAATGCTTAGCACGACAAATGTAACAAGCACTCAGTAAATTTAGGCTGTATCATTTCCTCCCACATGGCACAGGAAGTCAGCTCATTTGCCCAACCCTGGCCTTGGTCTCCACAGTCTGGTTAATTGTCTTCAACCATGTACCTGTGACATGATTGTAACAAGTGCAAAATATGGTTCTTACTCCTGATATATGACAGCAAATGAGACAAGGACTCTCATATCAGGAAGTTCACTATCAAGTGTGAATTAAAGATAATAGTTAAGGAAACGGATATGTGAACCAAATAATTCTACAAAGAACTAAGTATATACACACACATATATAATGGGGGAGAGAGCAGTACTAGATTAGGTGGTCAGGAAGACCTCAATGCAGAGGTAGCAAGCAAAGGAAAATAAGATCCTAAAATGACTGTATTAAAAATTTCGAATAGGAATTGAACATGAAGATCAGTTAAACAGTAATTCACATGTGAATTTTAAAATTTGACAAGAATGTAAAATAATGTGAGTAAAAAAACCTAAAAGCAAACAACTTTTGAAATCCAGTTGAACCTAATTCAATTACAGGACATTTGGGCAAAAATGAAAATTCTAGAGTATGCATACAATGAAAGGGTGAAGAGAAAGAACAACCCAGTAGGTTGATTTTGATTTATCATCAGTAGACTGCCAATAAAAAGAGGTACTTCCACTGAGCATACTCTTATTTCACAAACTCATGTGATTTTGAAAAACAAAAATTGAAACTGCTGACTGAGTGCTCTCAAAACCAGTTTACTCAATGATGGAGAATATCACTAAGAGCAGGTCACATGATGGTCATACTCACAGAACTGTTATCAGGGTGAACCTGTTTGAGCACCTTCTAAAGGTATTTAGAGCAGAAAACCCCAGGCAGCACATTGAAACTCTTCATTTTAGTCAGGGGATCTTGGAGCTCTTATTGTGAGAAGATGCAAAATCAATCACTCGGGTATTGTGACAACAACATCTTTTTAAGAAAGAGGAATGAGTTGGAGAATGAAGTAGGGCAAGTTGTGTATAGCCTGCGTTTCAATCAGGTTAAGAAAGAGACATGAATGCCAATAAAATTGGGAGTAATGAAAGAGCTCAGATTAATTTACAGCTTTCAGATCACTTCCAATCAAGGAAGGTAGGCCTAAACATCAGGAAACAAATCGCACAATACGTATCTCCGATACTTCAAAGTGCCTCCAATTAAGGGGTTCCCTTACACAAATCTAAGGAAATTTTAATATTGAAAATGCTATAATTTACTTAAATAAATCAAGAGAAAATAGTGTTCTCAAGGGCTGCTAAAGCTACCAAGAGGACGCTTTTGATACCTAGTAAGTTAACTTAAATGGCTTAGAAAACTAAAATTGTTGTTCTGAGCACATAGATTTCAAACAAAATCTTAATATCACCTTTGCTGATGAAATGCTACTATCATTCTTATTAGAGCCAGCAATTGAAAAGAAAGCTTTTAATCAGCATTATGATTTAAAAGTATTTGTGGGGGATCCCTGGGTGGCGCAGTGGTTTGGCGCCTGCCTTTGTCCCAGGGCGCGATCCTGGAGACCCGGGATCGAATCCCACGTCGGGCTCCCGGTGCATGGAGCCTGCTTATCCCTCTGCCTGTGTCTCTGCCTCTCTCTCTCTCTCTCTGTGTGTGTGTGACTATCATAAATAAAAAAATAAATAAATAAAAAATAAAAAAATAAAAAAAATAAAAGTATTTGTGAATATTTGGAAATTAAATTTTAAGAAGATTTAAACACTAAAAAAGGGCCTAAATAGTTTTGTTGATCTGATTGCACTGCAAATGAGTAAATATCTAGAAAAGCTTTGTCTTGGGAAACCTTACACTCCTAAAAGTAAACAGGAACTGCTGAAACTATTATGTCAATAATATCTGCCAATATTCACTGTATGAAACATTATAACAGAAATTTAAAGAAATTTATTGCAGGATCCATTTAAAATTGTAATAAAATTACATATTTTATTTTAACATAATTACATCATGTTAACATAAATTATAAGTGCATATGAAAAATTATTTTTTTCTAAAAAAGCATAGAGGAGAGAGACGTTTCAGATTTAAAAAATCTCCTCAAGGGACCCCTGGGTGGCACAGTGGTTTAGCGCCTGCCTTTGGCCCAGAGCGTGATCCTGGAGACCCGGGATCGAATCCCACATCGGGCTCCTGGTGCATGGAGCCTGCTTCTCCCTCTGCCTGTGTCTCTGCCTCTCTCTCTCTCTCTCTCTCTCTCTCTCTCTCTCTCTCTCTGTGACTATCATAAATGAATTAAAAAAAATTAAAAATATTTTTAAAAAATAAAAAAAATAAAAAAAATAAAAAATCTCCTCAATAATTCACCTAACAGAAGTCAGATGGATTCTTATATCAGTTTCTGCACTTTATCTCTTGCCGTATCACTGATTATGAGCCTCTGGGAAACTCACCATAGGCTCATGAGAAAATGAGAGAGAAAAGGGTAAACATCATTACAAGTGAAAAAAAAAAACCCATTGAGACTGACCTACAGAAATATCTAACAGAAATGACTGTTGGGGAAAGCCAAGAAATGCAGCATGGTTAAGGAGAGTTCACAATTGTCCAAGGAATAAACGGCACTCAAATATACTTTAAAGGAGAGTTGATCATGTTTTGTTCATGGTAAAAAATACTTTAAATATCTGCAGAATGCCACAAGAACAAAAACTAGAGTTTGTCCCACTTTTTAGAGCTACAGGTCTTTTTCTGCCAAGTGAGGTGGCTCTGAAAAGAGCCTTTGGTTTGTGAGGTGGTCCTGAGGCAGCTCACTTGCTAAAGGTGTACCTCATGATGGCCTTGGTGGCCTCAGACACCGCGTACTTGCCAATCTCCCTCGGCAGCAGCAGGCGCACGGCGGTCTGGATCTCTCTGGAGGTGATGGTGGAGCACTTGGTGGAGCCGGCCAGGTGAGAGGCCTCGTCAGCGATGCGCTCTAAGATGTCCTTAACGAACGAATCCATGATGCTCACAGCCTTCTGTGAGAGGCTCAGACCCTCGTCAACCTGCTTCAGAACCCTGGGGAAGTAGATGGCGAAACTGTCTGAGCAGCTCCGGCGGCAGCGACGGTGGCATTGACGCCTTGGCTTCTTCCTCTTCGGGCTCTCTGGTTCGGTTTCCCTGGGCTCTTTAGTGCCCAGGCATTCCTCCGAAGAGGTCTCACAGCCAGGCTCAGCCATGTGGGGCTCACCCTCCCGACAGCTCAGAAGGACGGACAATGGCGGCTGCTGAGGAGCACTGGCCCCTTTATAGTCGCTGCATTTCCTGACGTCACAGGCAACCTCTGTATCTGATTGGACAAAATACAACGCGGGGAAGTGGGGTTCTATGCCAGGCTGTGTCACTTATGATTGCATACCCTCGAGTTTGACATCACATCAGACAATTAGAGAGGGAATCCAGTGTCCTCTAAACTTCTTGGTACCTCGGTCAGAAAAACTTTCAACTACTCCATTTCATTGTGCATTTTGTCTACTGTTTTTCAACATCAAAACAGTAACAGATCTTAGAAGAGTCATGTTTTTATCAGAATACTTCATATTCCACATCATCACCTTATTTCTGATAAGCAGTAAGTGCCATTGGATCAGGATGCGCTAGAAACCAGGATGCTCTGGAGACCCAGAGTCAAGGTGTCTACCCCTTAAAATGGCAGCAAAGGTAAAGTGGTGGTGATAGAAACACAGGAGCACATAGGGAGACAAGGAAGAAAATGACACCTGTGTTTAAATAGTTAACGAATGTATAACAGGATGTAGCACTTCTTGAGCACCTTCCATTTTTATTCAATTACTTTGCGGAGAGGCGGGGCTCTCTCTTCCTGGGTAAGGAGCAGCACACAAGGGTGGCATAAAATAGACCGGTTCCTTTCCGTTTATCTACCCAAAGGCAGTTGATTATAGCCATTCTAACAGGTGTGAAGTTGTACCTTGTTGTGGCTTTGATTTGTATTTCCCTGATTAGTGATATGGAAGGCCTTTTCATGTACCTGTTGGGCATCTGTATGTCTTCTTTGGAAAACTGTCTATTCAGATCATTTGCCCAGTTTTTAATCAAGTTGTTTGATTTTTCTTTTTTCTGCTTTTGAGTTTTTGGGATTCATTATATAGTTTAGATATTAACCCTTTATCACATACATGATTTGCAAATATTTTCTCCCACTCGGTAGGTTGGCTTTTCATTTTGCTGATGATTTCCTTTGCTGTGCAGAAGCTTTTTAGTTTGATGTAGCCCCATTTGTTTATATTTGCTTTTGTTATCCTTCCTCTTGGTGTCAGATCCAAAAACTCAATCAATCAATTAGTCGCCAAGACTGATGTCAAGGAGCTTAGCACCTATGATTGCTTCCCAGCGTTTTATGGTTTTGGGTCTTGCATTCAGTCTTTAGCCTGTGGTGTAAGACAGTGATCCCATTCTATTCTTTTGCATGTGGCTGTCCAGTTTTCCCAACACCATTTATTGAAGAGACTGTTCTTTCCCCCATTGTATATTCTTGGCTCTTTTTGTAAATTAATTGACTGTATATGTCTGTGTTTATTTCTGAGCTCTCTAGTCTCATCTGTTGATCTATGCATCTGTTTTTATGCCAATACCATACTGTTTTGATTGTTATAGCTTTGTAAAATAGTTCAAAATCAGGGAGTATGAGGCTTCCTGCCTTGTTCTTCTTCCTCAAGACTGTTTTGGTTACTTGGGTTTTTTTTTGGGGGGGGGGGTTTGTGGTTCCATACAAATTTTAGGATTGTTTCTTCTATTCTTGTGAAAAATGCCATTGAACTTCAGTAGGGATTGCACTCAATCTCTAGATTGCTTTGGGTAGGATGAACATTTCATAATACCAATTCTTCCCCTCCCTGGGTATGGAATATCTTTCCATTTATTTGCATCTGTTCAATTTCTTTCATCATTGTCTTATAGTTTTCAGTGTACAGATCTTTCACTTCCTCAGTTAAATTTAATCTCAGTTATCTTCTTCTTTCTGATACAATTGTAAACGGATTGGTTTCTTAATTTCTCTTTCTTATAGGTTGTTAGCAGTGTGCAGAAATGCAACAGAGTTTTGAATTTTGATTTTGTTTCCTGCAGCTTTACTGAATCCATTTATTGGTTCTAAATGTCTTTTGGTGGAGTCTCCAGGGCTTTCTATAAGTAATATTATGTCATCTGCAAATAGTGACAGTTCTACTTCTTCCCTTACAACTTGAATGCCTTTTCATTTCTTTTTCGTGGTTGTTTTGTTTTGTTTTGTTTTGCCTAAATGGTCTTCATACTTCCAATAGTATGTTGAATAAAAGTGGCAAAAGTGGGTGTCCTTGTCGTCTTGTTTCTGATCTCAGAGAAATAGCTTTCAGCTTTTCACCATTGAGTCAGCTCGTCACACATGGCCTTTACTATGTTGAGGTGTGTCCTCTCCATTCCCACTTCTTGAGATTTTTTTTTTTAAATCAGAGTCGGATATTGAATTTTGTTAAATACTTTTTCTGCATCTACTAAGACGATTCTATGATTTTATCCTTTGTCTTGTGAATGCAGTGTATCACAATTATTGATTTGCATATGTTGAGCCATCCTTGCAACACAGGGATGAATCCCCCTTGATCATGGTGGATGATTTATTTTTAATGTGCTGTTGAATTCAGTTTGCTCATGTTTTTTATTTTTATTTTTTGAGAATATTTTCATCTGTATTCATCAGGGATATTAGTCTGTCAATTTCTTTTCTTGTAGCGTTCTTACCTGGCTTTTGTGTCATAGTAATGCTGGCCTTGTAAAATGAGTTTGGGAGTATTCCTTCCTCTCCAATTTTTGGGAAGAATTTGTGATGTATTGGTGCTAGTTCTTTCTTTCTTTCTTTCTTTCTTTCTTTCTTTCTTTCTTTCTTTCTTTCTTTCTTTCTTTCTTTTTGGTGCTAGTTCTTTAAGTGTTTGGTCGAAGTCACCAGTGAAATAATTTGTTCTTGGGATTTTCTGTTTTGGCAGGTTTTAAGTAATGATTCAATCTCCGTACTTGATATTAGCCTGTCAGATTCTCTGTTTCTTCATGACACAGTCTTGGTGGATTGTGTGTTTTAGGAATACATCCATTTCTTTTAGGTTATCCATTTGTTGGCATATAACCATTTGTAGTAATCTCTCGTGGTCCTTTGTATTTCCGTGGTGTCAGTTGTAATGTCCCCTCTTTCACTGCTGGTTTTATTTGAGTCTTCTCTCTGTTTTCCTGAGGTAGCCTAGCTGAAGTTTCATCACTTTTATTAATCTTTCCAAATCACCAGTTCTTAGTTTCATTAATCTTGTCTATCATTTTTTCTGGTGTCTGGTACATTTATTTCCACTCGGATCTTTGTTCCTTCCTCCCTTCTGCTGACGTTGTGTTTAGTTTGTTCTTCTTTTTCTAGCTCTTTGAGGTGAAAATTTAGGTTGAGATCATTCTTGTTTCTTAATGTAGGTGTTTGTCACTGTAAATTTCCCTCTTAAAACAAAACATATAGGTTGCTGCAAAAGCAGTTCTGATATGCTATGCTTCCATTTGCATTTGTGTCTGGATTTCCTCTTTTGGTTTCTTCTTTGACCCAAGTGTTATCCAGAAGCATGTTGTTTAATCTCCACATACTGGTGAATTTTCTACCTTTTTGCCTGCTAGTGGTACCTTGTTTCATACTCTTGCAGTCACAAAAGATAGTATGATTTTAATGCTCTTAAATTTGCTAAGACTTGTTTTGTGATCTATCTTGGTGAATGTTCCATGCGCACTTGAGAAGAACGTGTATTCTGCTGCTGCCAGATGAAATGTTCTATATATGTCTGTTGAGTCCGTTTTGTCTAAAGTACGGCTCAAGTGCAGTGCTTCATTGTTGATGTTCTTGTCTGGAAGATCCATGCAATATTGAAAGTGGGGTGCTGGAGTCTCCCTGTATTATCCTATTGCTGTTTATTTCTCCTTTCAGTTTTTTTAAGTATTCGCTTAATATATTTAGGTGCTCCAATGTTGAGTGCATATTTATGATTGTTACATCTTCCTGAAGAATTGACCCCCCCTCATCATTACCTAACGACCATCTCTGTCTCTCGTTACCATTTTAGCTTAAAGTCTATTTTGCTCGACATTAGTATAGGTAACCCCACTCTCTTTGGTTTCCACCTGCATGGAATAGCTTTTGTCATCCCTTCACTTTGGATCTATGTATGTCCTCAGAGCTGAGGTGAGTCCCTCCTAGGCAGCACATAGTTTGATCTTGCTTTTTGTCCACTAAACCACTCTATGCCCTTTGATTGGTGGATTCAATCCATTAAGAGAGTAATTATTGATAAGACATACTAATGCCGCCTTATTACTACTGGTTTCTTGGCTGTTCTCTAGTTCCACTTTTCACTATTCCTTTCTTGATGTCCTCCTTTGTAAATGGAATATTTTTTGTAGTGGTATGCTTTGATTACTTTCTCTTTATCTTTTGTGTATCTATGGTAGTTTTTACTTTTTGGCTCCCATGAGGTTTACACACAACATCCTGTAGGTATGACAGTCTATTTTATGCTGACAGCTTAACTTTGATGACATACCAAAACTCTATCCTATTATTCCTCACCCAAATTTACTTTTTTTACATCATTATTTATATTTTGTGTGTGTGTGTGTCCGTTAACAAATTGTTTTCAATACCTTTGTCTCTTATCCGTTATTTTAAAGTTACCTAGTCAGCACATCACCACGTTACAGTCTTAGGGTATTCTGAGTCTGACTGTATGCTTACCTTTAACAGCGTGTTGTGTATTTTCATATGTTTTGGTGTTACCAATTAGTTTCAGCTTGAAGAACTCCTTTCAGCATTTCTTGTGACATAGGGCTAGTCACAACGAGTTCCCTCAGCTCTCGTTTACTAGGGAAAGTCTTTATTTCACCTTCAATATGGAAGGGCAGCATCGCTGGGTAAAGAACTCTTGGTTGGCAGTTTCTTTCTTTTAGCAGTTTAAATATATCATCCCATTCTCTCCCGGCCTTTAAGGTCCCTCCCAAAAAACCCACTGATAGCCTTATGGAGCTTCCCTTGTATGAGAGAAAAATTGTTTTCTCTTGCTGCTTTTAAAACTCTCTCTTCGATTTTTGTTTTGTTTTTTTAAAGATTTTATTTATTTATTCATGAGAGACACAGAGAGAGACAGAGACACAGGCAGAGGGAGAAACA